TATACCTTTTTCAAAGAGATTACCTGAGTTATAGAGCAACTAGGTTTTCAATAGCAATACTAGTATATACATGGCATTGTGCTACTAGGAATGAAAACAATTGTAATCTTTTTACTAACCTAAGGTGAATGTACAAGATTGCCATTCTTAGGTCTTTTAGGTTAAAAATACTTTCTACAGATGGTAAAGAATAAAAGGGCTTTTATGCTTTGTGTGCTTCACTCCCTAGTCTTTCATTTATTTTTAAGTCCTCTAACATTCTATAAACACAAATTTGTGGATGACTTTCTCAAAAGTGTTGCCTAGGCCCCTACAGTGAAACCAACACATCAGCTTTACCTTCCACATATTTTTACAAATTGACTATAGATGAAACTACATCCTGCCTCTTTTCTTCTGGATGTGAATTTTCTCAGGACAGTGATTATATCTTTTATATCTATAGCCCCAAGGCCTAGTACAATGCCATGGCACACAATAAATATTGTTGAATGAATGACTTAATGGAATGAATGAATGAATGAATGAATTACTGATTACCTTTCGCTTATCCCTTCCCATTCTGCTATTCTTTTCTTCAGGGCAAACTGGAGAAAATATTTAGAATTCATTTATATCTTGAATATTATTGTGAACCCCTAAAGGAGCAAACTGAGGCAAAATGAAATTGCTAAGATGCAGACACTGGTTTTCTGGTTAAATTGATTTTGGCCAGTAGTTCTTACTCAAAATATTAGGAAAAAAAAAAAAAGCTCCTTAGACACTATGGGCAGTATCAGTTAAACTAAATAAATAAATATTTTGTGGGTGTCATTTTTTAAAAAACAAAACCAGTTGATCTTCCTAAAGATAAAGGATTTTTTAATCTTAAAATAGTAAGTATGCTCAGCATCCCTGTGTGGCACAGTCCATTGAGTGTCCGACTCTTAATCTCGGCTCCAGTCTTGATCTCATGGTTGTGAGTTCTAGCCCGGTGTCAAGCCCTATGCTGGGCATGAAGCCTACTTAAAAAAACAGTAACTATAACTACTATAAAGAAAATGCAATCTTGAGCATATGGCAGTCATAAAGATCTTTAAAAAAACCCTTTATCAGATAATTTTAAAATGATCTTGTAAAAACTTTTCAACAACTTCCCATTGCCCTTAAGATCCAGAATGTCTAATATGAACTACAAGCTAATTCTTTGATTCATTCAAGAAATATTGATTGTCCATTATGTATTTTAGGCTCAGAAAATACAGCGGTGAAGTAGTGGGACAAAGCTTCAGTTCCCATGGAATTTAACACTGGGGATAGGACAGTGGGAAGACTGACAGGCTAGAAACATAGACATACAAACAGTAAACAACATAAATAGACAAGACAGATAAATTCCAGTGAGATGAATGCTAAGAATAAAATTACATAGAATGATTTTCTAAAGAAAATGAGATATTCTTTCAGTTCCCCATTTTCTCACCCCAGGAAATTTGTACAGATATTCCCTCTTCCAGAGCTCCTCTTTAATCTTTTTTCCCCCTCTCTAATTGTCATTCTTACTTCAGCTCAGGACTCAGCTAAAAGTGGCATCATCTCCAGGTTAAATGTTCCTTTTATATACCCCTCCCATTGTACCCACATGTCTCCTTTGTAATGTTCACTACATTTGTAAGTATTTGTTCAGTGTCTGTCTTGCCACAAGGGTAGGGTCTTCCTGTCTGTGGTCTACTGATCTATTCCCAGTGACCAGGATATAGCAGATGATCAATACATTTTGTTGAATAAAAGAACACAATAAAGACTGGGAAAATCTTTCATTTTTTTCCTCTTGAAGGACATCACAGCAGGAAGGGGTAAAAATCAGTTGAACATCACACATATGTAAGAAGTGCATGGGAGAGAAATGCAATTAGATTGAATGGAAGCTGAATGAAAATTAGTCAGTGGTTGTTTCCTTGGGTTCAAGGGTGGCACTGAATGCCATCATAGGATAAACTGTTTTGAGAAGTCACTTCTAAGATATTGGAAGTAAGCAGTTCCTTGCTTATAAAACAGCATAGAAGAATACATGGAAGAGAGGAAGACAAAAAGAAAAGAACAGAAGAAAGAAAGAGAGAAAGGGTATAATTAAATGATGAATAGAAAAAATAGGTGGATGTGAAGATACTCTTTTTTTTCTTTTTTCTTTTTCAGATTCAGACAGACGTTTCTTTCAAAATGAAAATAGCCCCTTCTCCCAATATCAAGTAATACATGCACATTGCAAAATATTCAAAACAATGCAAAAAGAGGAAAGAAGAAAGGTGACTAATAATCATCCCTTCATATTTTATTTGCATGTATACACATCTAGACTTTTTCTATGCATATTTACACATATCTTTTTAATGTAAAAATAGAATCACACATGCTACTTTATAAACTGCTTTTTTTTTCCATTAAAAACATAACCTGAACATATTTCCAGATCTAGCTACTAATTTTTAATGACTATGTAGGAGTCCATTATGTAGATATACTGTAAAGTGTTTCACTAATATTGTTGAATAGTTCCCTGATTTTTCAGTATTTCAATATTATAAGCCTCACTATGATTAAAATCTTTGTACATTCATTACATGCGTCTTTGCAAATGTGTTCACTTCTTTTCCTTAAATTTCTGTATGTGGACTTGGTGGTCAAACAGGACATTGAGGCATTTGATATGCATTGCCAAGTCATATCAATTTGTACCAGTACCATACAGGTGTGCCTATTTCATAGGATCTTCATCAAAACTTAATATTATCAAATTTTTAATATTTGACATTCTAAGAGGAAAAGCAGAAATTACTGTTTTTATTTTCATGTCTGGTTACTACTGAGAATATGAATTATCATATGCTTGTCAGGCAAATGTTTTCTCCTTTTTTGAATTGCTTATTTATGTCCTTAGCATAAGGGGTGTTTATCTTTTTAAAAAATCAATTTTTAATAGTTCTTTATAGACTTGTGATATTTGTCATATATGTTTATCATATATGTAACATTTTTACCAATTTGTCATTTGTCTTTTAATTTTATTATAGACTAGTATTACCCCTTAGCTCTCATATGTCATGTTGAAATTATTTTTTTGTTTGTCATTTCTCTAACTTCGCTAACCTTGTGTTTTGACATTCAGAAGCTTTTATTTATGAAATCTTATTTAACAGTATTTTTTTTAAATTTTGTGTCACGTTTAGAAAGTCCTTCCACGTCCCCAAGGATATAGACATATTCACATGTAAGTGAATTTCTCCTACTTCTTTTATGATTGTAAATTTCACGTTAAGCCATGTTTGCCTCAGAATATGTCAAGGAGTGGCTGATGTTATTACCAGAAGCTCAATATCAGGCTTAATAGCCCTTACAGGCCACTGAAGAATTCATTTTATACATTCTAGGTAAAAGTTCTGGTACATGACTACATCATATAAGACAAAAACTGAGTAGAGCCACAGCACCTAAATTATGTACACATACTGTTAAAAATGACAATATCAAGCCTGGTGGGAAGATGAGCAGAAAATATGAGAATATTATTGTAACTGCTTTGAGTCAAATACTTATATTCCAGGCTGATGATATGGACATCACGCTGAGGGTGCACATTCTCTCAAAAAATATCTGATAGTCTACTATGAGCTCGCTGGCGTTATAACAATAAACAAAACAATGAGGTTTACTGCTCTTAAGGGGTGGGGTAAACAAATAATATACTTTCAGATTAAGTATTTTAAAGAAAATTACGCAGGTAAGGGAATGGGGAAGTTGTTATTTTGGATAGCGTGATTAGGGAAGACTCCTCTGGGGAGATGACAGTTGAGGAGAGGCTGGGTTAAGAGTAAAGACATGAAGGAAAAATATTCTAGCCTATATAAAGTTGTAGAGGTGGGAACAAGTTTGGTTTTGTTGGAAGAATAGTAAGAAAGCGTGTAGCTGGAGTGTTACCTGGAAACAGAGAAAACAGAAAAATGGAAAAAGAAACACGGAAACACCCTAAAAACTTGGGTAAGGTTGATTTTCTAAATTAACTGTGAAAACCGGAGTGGGACGCTGTGTGGCTGGTTCCCTAACTTCCTTCAGGCATTACCATCTAAGAAAGGCCTTTTGTAACTGTCCTTTTACAAATTCCCCAACGTTATCAGATTTTCCCACCCTTTTCGATCATCGCCCCTTTCCAAGTATTTCAGAAAATTACCATCTCAGAGAGGCCATCTCTGACCAGTCTTTAAAATCGCAATTCCCGTTTGCCCCCACCGGGCACTCTCCCACCCCACCCCCTTTCCTCTGCTTTTTCTTCCTAGTATTTATCACCAAATAGATACACATAGATATATATTAATTATTGTCCCTTCCCCGAGTATGAGGAACCATGAGAAAATAGAATATAAAGAACCACGAGAACTGGGCTTTTGGTCCGTTTTAATTTCCGCTGTATTCTCAACATCTACAACAATGCTTGACATACAGTTGGCACTCAATAAATGTATGTTGAATATAAGGTAAGGTGCTGTACAAACTAGTCTGACCTAATTGTGTGATCGACGTCAGGTTGGACTAATATCGCATTTCGCGCTCTCTGAGAAAGGCTTCAAGCAGTCAGACGGTGACATTCTTCAGTTTTTAAAACCGGTAAAGCTCAGGTTCCCACAATCCTCAGAACGCGAATTTCTCGCCACAATTCAAAATGGCGGAGGAGGGTGGGGCCTGTCACATGGTGGGCGTCACAGCAGCTCTCCTTTTCCAGACCGTGGCCCGCCTTGCCGCGTCGTCGGCTGCCCCCTTCTTCCTCCCGCCGAGCCTTTTCGAGGAATCGCCTGGGATTGGCTAATAGGCTGGGAGTGGGGCTGCGGAGCCGGGACGCGGCATCATCACTTCCTGTTGTGGGCAGTCGTTTCCTGTCGCTGCTTGGTAACAATGGGGAAGATAATGGCTGCCTGAGCAACGTCTCCGAGCAGGCGCTGGGCTAGAGGCGGGTCTCAACCAGCGACTCATCGGAGGCGGGCTTGAGAGCAGCGGCAGGGGAGGCGCGCAGGAGCCTCGGCGGCGGCGGCGGCGGCGGCCGAACCGACAGAGTCGAACCCGACACTAAAACCGAGTAAGTGAAGCCTTGGGAAATCCTCTTGAGAAATGGATGGAGAGCGAGGGGAAGACAGCGGAGCCGCGGCTGCCGTGTTCTCTCAAAATGGCCTGAGTGTCGCGTCGTGGCGGACGCTCAGCACCGCCTCCGGACCCCAGGCGCTGATTGCTGCGGGGGGCTCCGTGGCGTAGTCGCCGCTGCCATTTTAGTTGGGTGTATAGTCATAGTCTCTTGAAGAAGGGGAAGGAGGTGGGTAGTACTTCCTCTCCGTGGCGGTGCGAGCTAAAGCCGGGGCCCTCCACAGCCTTAAGAATTTGGGGGAGGCGATTTTTGAGTGTTGGCCTCAGGCGTGAGAATCTTTGATCGTCTCAGGTTTTTCTCTTTGGTTCTCTGGAGGCTTCCCTCGCCTCCCCACCCCCCTTTGATATGGCGGGCTTGGGTTTGGGAAAAGGGGAAAAAAATCAGGCTGCTCTAAGTCAGATGCTGGGAACTCTTGGGCCTTTAGATTTCCCAGGATTTGCAAAACCCCATTTTGAGCCCTTCTGCTGGGCACTATCAATTAGGCGCCCCCTGGGGCCACGATGACATCTTCCCTGAGGATCTGGGGCAACTGTGGTTTACTCCCTTACTCGAATAACCCTGGCATATCCTTTGCCAGGTATCACTGCAGGGATCCCCCGAAAAGGCAGGGAAAAGCCGTTGCGTGTTTGTTGTTTTTCCCTGGGTAAGGGTAGGAATTGGGCCAAATGATTTTCAACTTAATTTCGGTTCAATCCGGCAACAACCCAACCCCTCCCCCCTCAAAAAGAAAAGCCTAAGGGTCTCGGCTTCTGCGGGCGGTACCTGCCACGTACGCCGTAGCTTTAGTAACTAGTATTAACCGGTTGGGCTTCTGCTTCCTGAATACTCAGTCCCTTTTTCCCTTATGCTGATTAATTTCAAGATGGAGGAGACAGCCACGTTCCTTCCCTAGACAGTTTCCCCATACTTAATTCCACAGGTTAGTCCGGGAATCTGAGGCCTAGCAATCTTGTTATTTAGGTCATTCTTTTCGTTTGGGGGCAAGAGGAAGCGTTTATATCAGGTTGTCATCCACCATTTGCAAGGTCCCACAATAATTTTTTGGTGCAAATGAAGAGCCCGCATTTCCTGAATCAGAATTAACCGCAGTCGCTTTGGATGATTGAAGGGAGGAAGAAATAAACGTACTACTAGTCGTTTCTATTACTAGAATCATTTATTTGATTCTTCGTGATTAAAGACAAAATTACTCATATCATCCTATCAGGTACATTATGTCCATCCTGGATGACTTGAGACCAGGCAGGCACAATTATAGCCCCCCAAAAATCAGTGTCTAGATTATAAAAATAAAGTACCCAGGAAGACCAATCCAAATACTTTTTCAACTATGATTTTAGGAGACTGTTAAACTGAAAAATGTTTCATTCTTTAGCCTAAACATCCTGATGATCGTTCATACTTTAGTTCCTGCCATAGGCTACTATAATGTGCCAAATAAGTCCTTGAAAGTAACTATCAGAATCTGAAAATATTACTGGTCTGTTAAGGAAAGGCCTATTTTAAGCAAGCTTATATTAAAAGGTAGATTGGCTTTCAGCCTTTAAAGGAAATCTTATATCTAACACAAGATTCCTGGTTTCCTCTGACCTCCATCTCCCCAAATATCCTAATAGTAATATTAAATTAGGTTGGGTTATGGGGTGTGTAACTTAAAATATATAGAATTTTTTTTTAGGATGTGTCTATTTCATAGAAAATGTATATCTTATGAAAGAGGAAGAATAATGGATTCTTTTTTTTTCTAGAGCAGAGAGTGAAGAAAACTAAAATCCAGTTTATTGTATTACAATACTATGTCATAACAGTCAGGTAATTTATTTCTTGTTGCGTCTCCTGATGATTTTTGTGTAGAATGCATGTTTAAAAATACTTATTCTGTTTTGCAGGCCCTGTAATTGGATGGGCTTATTTGATATATGTTTGTTGGTGTTGGGAATTCTTCATGATGAGAATGGGTATTTTTTATTGGGAATTCAAAGGGTAGTGTGCCTGAATAGCTGGAACTCCGCTAGTGTTTTATCTGTGAGTCTTTCTCTTAAAATAATGTCTGAAGTTTACCAGTACCCGTATAGGACAGAAAGAACAAAATGGAAATTTGCTGCCTTAAATCATTGTTGGGGTGGGATGGGTCTAAATAAATAGCATTTAAATGTTCATTGCATAACTAAATGAAATATCAGTAGAATATCTTAGAGGAATATAATCCTACATTATTTTGTGTGGTGTTCATTTTTTTTCCTTCAAGATCCAAAAAGTCATAATTGATATGTAATACTCTGATATTAACTCCTTTCATCATCATCATTGTTAAGGTAACCACATAAGTTATTGTCTTAGCCAGGATGCTTTTAAGAGCAAAAGGGACATTATTAATAATTATGCCTGGACAACAGGTGCAAACCTGGACTGCCCCAGGCAAACTGGGATGGAGTTAGTTAGCCTAAATTCATAACTAACTTGTATTGAATGCTTAATGTGCTTTGTCCTGTGCTTCACTTGCATGACTTTGTAATCCTCACAGCAAAGCCTCATGAGGATATTAACTATTTTACAGAGTTAACTGAGACTCAAAAGAGGTTAAGTAATTTGTCCTCAATTAAATAGCTAATAAGTGGTAGAGCCCCCATTTTAACCCAGGTCTCTCTGATCCTGAAGTCACTAAACTTTTATGCCTCTAGACTTAATTGCTCTTTAATTAGATTGCAGATGGAAAAAAAATAAAGGTTGTAGTAAAAAAAAATCTATAGGTTATGTCATATCAAAAACTTTTGTTCCCACTTATAGAGAATCTGGTTTATGATGCAAATGAGACTTTTTTAGTAATTACTCTCTTCCCTTTTTTATGGCATGGCTTCTGTTTCAGCTATTACTGCTTGTGATATAATTTGATACACTTAATTTAAAATCAGAAATGGTTTTAAGAAATAGCTTAGTGAAGCGATATCTAGAAATGTTAGGTTGGTTGGATATATTCTTTCAGGTTAGTGAACATCTTGTAAGGACTTAAATAATACAGTAGGTCAAATGGGACATCTGTATCTAAGGAATTATAATGTGTATATTACTTTATACATAGCCCTAGTAGATTGCAAAATAGAGCAAATCACTCACCAGCCTCTTGTGTCTTGATTTACCATAGAGTGGGTAACAAATTAGAAAGTGAAAAGTCCTCTCTCAAATCCAGACCAACGAGGTACTAGAATTTTGGGCCACTGCCTCGGACATGTTTTTCTTTTGTAAGTCTACTTCCTTATCATCTCTGTGTAACACAAAGATTTCCAAAACCTTATGGTCCATCGATTTCAAAAAGTATCAGTTTACGTAATCCCTTGACATTCTGATAGCCAGTGTAAGAAAGCAATATTACTTCCGTGTCTATTTTTTCCTTCATTATTTTTTCCCACCCTTGAATATGGAAGTTTCCCAGATAATCAAACAGTTCATTTTTCCTGTCATCAATTGAGATATTTTTTAATATGAAAATCTTGGCAGTTTTGAATAATTCAGGAATATGTTTATGAACTTGTGGTTTTGTTTCTGAAGTATATAGTTGATCTTTTTGTTGTAGATTTTCTGACCCAAGACTTTTAATTTCATTAGTCATAATTGTACCTACATACATGTGAGACAAATATCTATAGACAGTTTGTGGTGTGTATGTAGATTTGTGGACTTTGTGCAGTAATTTCACAACTACAGATTGGGCTACTATTATAACATTGCATGGTGATGAACATGATACTTTATGGGGGGAAGATATTTGTGTTCAATGTTTTAAACTTTCTTTAGAATGAAAAATGGTCTCTTTCCTCTTACTCTCCACTTAACTGTAGGGAAAAAGAAGTTAACTCTTAATTACAATTTTCATCTTTTTTATTGACCAAAGTTCCTGTTAGTGTCAGTTACATCTAAGGTGACCATATTAATTTATCCAAGCAAGAACGTTTTTGAGAGTGAAAGAGGGCCGTATTAAAAATTACTGTGGGATAACAGGTGTAGATTGCTACTCTTCTGGACAAACAGGGGACATATGGTCACTTTTGTCATTGTAGGATGTAGGAACACTGGTTCAGGAAGCACAGTTGTCAGCATGTTTGGTTCTGTAACACAAAATTGTTTTCCTCAAATAACATAAGTCATTTGTGTTGATAATATTTTCTTTTTTGGTCAAGGAATTTTAATTTTAAAACTTTGCTTCACTTATTAAGTTAATTTTTGATGGAAAGCTCATGTTCTTAAATTAAGATAGTGCCTTATCGAATAACGCCAAAATTGCTGGTAATCAGTGATTTTACATTAATAACTTTTTTTTATAAACACGTGAACATTCTGGGTTTTTGAGTCATTTTTTGACTTCTTGGGAATAATGAGAAGGCACAATTGAGTTTGTGTGGATAAGACCAAATTCTAATTTAGTAACATAGCTCAATAATAAAAACATGAAATGGGTAATCGAAGATTAAATTTACTGTCTAAAAGTACTTGAGTGAATAGAAATGTCATCATAATGGTTTCCTTTTTTAACTACCTTGTTCCTGTGAACTGGCAGCATTTGGTTTGATCTCTGTCCTCTGATTTGTTGACGTTCTTATTAATAGTCTTTCTATTTAACTGTTTTAGAGGATTGTGATAGAACTGTTTGTGAGCTGCAAGGCAGTAGACTTCCTGCCAAGAGATTAGACACATGAGGGACGTTTCTGAATCCTTTTTTTTCTGCTGTCCTTTTCAAGTGGTAACGATAGAAGAATATAAACGAGGCTAAAATAACACTGCCATGCAATAATATTTTATAATTTTGTATTGCTGTGATAATATCAACAGTGGTAGAAGTCTTGGTAACATCCTCTGACAGGCCAATATTGGAAATAATCAACAAATTGTGTGGATGGTGACAGGTATCATGCAGTAGGTAAAGGCATTGAAACATCAACCCT